AAACCACAGCTAGAATTGGCCTATTGAATCAACAGAACCTAGAAAGGTATTGATTCACCCAATCCCCACTGATTCAGGAGGCCTACTTGATTTGTAACTTGCTACGCTAAGAAACAGGATTTCAGACAAATTGTTTTGCAGTCCAAAAAGCTCAGATTGTAAAGCTGCCTTTGACCTTTTTAATAGAAACTGCAATATACGTATTTTTAAGAAATAAAAAATAAAAATGGCAAAGTGATAAACTACTGAGATGTGTGTATATCCATAAGGAGTGTTGAGCGCTTGCAATACCCTGCTAAATGGAAGGATCCCAACCAGATTTTTTATGCCGCCTTGATCCATGGGGAGAAATTCTCCTTGTTCTTTTGTAGGATGGTACAGGTGATAGCCAATTCATACGGCTGTGGAAGGCACACCTTCAAAAGTTACCATACAGTAAATGACCCTGTCTGTTCCTACAATCGTTAGGCAGAGAGCAAGCAGAGGATTAATGTTAGTTTGATATTGCTCATTCCTGTTTGTGCCTTAAGCGATACAAACACACAATAGGGAAATGGATAACAATTGAGTTACAAGCGAATTATGAAACCGAAGGCTTTTTTCACAGGCTTTTGTTTTTATGCAGAAATATGCAGTCAGGCAGAACTAAAGCAAATTGCTTGAGCTCCCTGGAGAAAAGGCAGAAGAAAAATTCCCAGCAACTTTCTCCCGTCGACATGCATGAGTGCAAATATGGATGAAATACAGAATGAGTGAGATGCCCTCAGTAATAAGGTGAAATGAATCGCTATCTTTGACTGCAGGAGGTGGGGAGTCACCGCCTATTAGAGACGCAAAAAAATGGCTGAGAAGGAAAATGTAAAGCGTAAGAAATGAAGACATAGCCACGTGAGAGAAGCCATCTTTTCAACATATAAACACTAGACAATACTGTATGTATATCCCACGCTATCCTGAATTTACTGGGACTTTCATTTTCGGTGTTGTGTCTTCTCATCATAAAAGTATGTACTGCAGAACTTCAAAGTACTGGTTTTGTTGAAAATGTCATATGAAGAGAATTCTAGCTTTCCCTCTTCAAATACATCAAGCTTCTAGACCTTATTGTTCCTTGTTGCAACCTTTGCAGGAAGGAACAGAACACCTATCACACAAGGCACAATTACAAAATGAAAGGTACTTCCTCCAGGGATGTAGCCATCCATCAGCTTTATGAGAAGACACTCTTTAGAATCAAGGAAGAACAAGTCAAGAATGTCCATCTTACAAAGTACAGGCTAGCGTTTTAACTCATTATGATGCCTATGAGCTGGCTCCTTGAAACGGCTTTCTGACTAAAGACTTATGATGCCTATGAGCTGGCTCCTTGAAATGGCTTTCTGACTAAAGGCAGGCATGAATTAAAAAACAAATCACCAAATTTGTTAAAAATCATTAATTCATCTGAATTAAAAAACAAATCACCATATTTGTTTAAAAAATCATTAATTCATCGATTCACATTCATGAAAATCAATGCCCCTGACGAATCACGAATCAATGAATTTTAGTGATTTTTGATTTGTTGATTCATTTGGCTATAAATCTGCCCCAAGGCACCTAGCGACACCAAAATTACTGAGATGTTTCCCATGACTCACTTCTACAATCCTTCCAAGTTTGGTGAAGACTGGGTTTCCCCTAACCAGCTGCTAAAGTGCACTTTCCTGGGGGGGGGACCACTTTGTGGGTGTATAACTTGGATATTTGAAACCCAATCTTCACCAAACTTGGAGGGATTGTATCAGAGAGCCAGGGGAAGCCTCTCTGTGATTCTAGTGTCTCTAGGAGCCTGGGGGAAACCTTCCTGTGGGGGCCCCTCCTTGTGGGTGTACAATTCAGACATCTGAAACCCAAACTTGCAGGGCCTGTAAAGGAGAGTCAGAGGAAGCTTCCTTGCAAATTTGGTGTCTATAGAAGCTCAGGGGGTATTATAGGGTTTTAAAGTAAAAATGATTTGACAAATTAATTCATCGCTTCATCAGAGAAAAAATCCATAAATTAATATTCATCAGAAAAAAATCCATAAATTTATAACTCATGATTCATCAACCTTAACGAATCACAAATCAAAACAAAACATCATTTTTTAAAGATTCATACCCATCTCTATTTCTGACCCTTACTGAGGAAATATTTGGCGATTCAGCTGCATATTTTTGAAGTCACATACACAGAGCACTGTGCAACAAACTAAGTTGTTTGATGCTGATACTAACGGCTGCTATATTTATATGCAAATTGGCGGCTGCTTCATATCTGGAATTTCATCTCACACTCTTGACTGTTGAGCCCACCATGGAAAAGTTACTTTTCTGATGATGACTCACAGAATTCCTTCACTTCCCAGAATATCTCCACTTCCAGCCTGTAGGAATACATCGATGCTACTCTCACCGAATTGAAGACAAACATGTCACATATGTTGAAGGAGGATAGGCCAGCATTTATCAGCTTTTTTCCCTTCGTTACAGAATATCAGTCTTTGCAGGACATAACTTTGCCAAATGAATTCACCTCAAACACATACTGATTCTTCTAGAAGTGTGTCATGCTGAAAAAGACACATGGTTTTCTTTCCTACATCAGTTCCATTTGTAACATCTCTGGCAGGACTGAATTTTTAGTTGACTTAGGGTCTGACGATTGCTAAATCCACCATTTTCATGTGAAAATAACAACTACATCAACTAAAAATTATGAACACTCTTATGAGCTAAGTAAGATGTAAAACGAGCCATGATAGATCAGGCTGAAGGTCCACCTAGTCTCATATTCTCTGCCTTTAGGACCCTACCAATTGTCTGTGGAAAAACCCACAAGCAGGAAGCATGAGTACACTCGCAACCCTCCAGATGGTGTTGAAAAACAGACTGACTCCAGCACCGGAGGTAATATATTAAGAGGTAACATGTCTATGTGCAGTTCTGGAGTGACATCCTCAATGAATTTATCCTCCATGAATCTGTCAGGTTCAGAGAGGGGAGAAATGTGTTTCTTTGTTTTTAGATCGCCACACCCATAATCCCTCGGCTTTGGTTTTAAGATTCTGAAAACTATAGTCCAAACATATATCCAGATACCGCACCACACACGCAGTCTCCGGTTAAGATGATGAACATAATCTTGACACCTTGTGGTACACAGTTTCGATAGTTCAATTATACTCATTCAGAAAGTACCGTATTTTTCCGTGTATAAGACGCCCCCATGTATAAGATGCCCCCCACTTTTCTAACCCCAAAGTAAGAAATCTAAGTGGGGCTTAGCAAATGTAGGGGGAAAGGGATCAAAGCCTTGCAGGATAGCTTTGATCCCTGCTTTCCCTTCCACTTGTTTTTGTTCTCTCCTCAGCTTACTTCTATGTAGTATAAGACGACCCTCAATTTTTATTCTAAAGATTTTAGACAAAGGTATAGTCTTATACACGGAAAAATACGGTACTTTCTTTTATATGTTCTCAGTATCTCATCTTTCCTCTATCTTGGATCAAGATAAGAGAGGCAAAAAAACCCAAACTCAAACAGACAGTAAATCCTATGGAATTCAAAGACAAGAGCAGAGTTGCAATATACAACATTATAAACTGAAAAAGTTAAATTAAGGTGAAGATGGCCATCTCATACCACCTGCCCTTCTCTCTCTCTCTCTCTCATCATCATCCTCTGCCAAGGTCTTCTTCACTCTCTCTATACCCTCTCCTCCTCTTTCTTCTCTCAGTCCCCTCCTGGATCGGCCTTTGCCAAAACACATTCTAAATTCCTGGGATGTCAAGATCGTGGAAGGAAAGTGAGTTATGGTTTCTCAAGCCCCTGCAAATATCCTTGGATTACAAGAAGGAAATCTAACCAGAAAATTAATGTCTCTTCAGCAAAAGGCAATTTGAGTCTATTGTCAAGGCATGTCAATTAGGGCCAACATGACTTTGCCACAAGACTTGGAAAACAACCGATGACAAATGGAATGAAAAATGAAAAGCTGACACAGCCAGACGTACCGACACACACATTCATGCACGCATTCATGTGCACTTCTTCATGTGGCTAATTGTACTATCATTAGATTGCTAAAACACAAGCAACTTGGGTGATAAATCAAAAGCAAGACATTAAGCAATGGGTCACATCTGTACTTTAGACAGAGCCTGGAAATGTAACTTATTTGTTTCTGGGAGTTGTAGTCCAAAGAAGTAACATATCCAGGCTTCACCTCAGGGTGAGTACCCCTCTTCAGTTGCGCTCAGTTTAATAACAACAATTAGCACTCTGCTTTCCCCCTCATTCATTATTACCAAACTCCGTTTTTACATAATGACCCCAATCCAGTTGTCTCTGTGAAGAGTCAGTAGAGATCCTGCACAAGCAATTATGTCATCAGGGCTGTTTCGAGTCTGGATGTGGCCATTCTAAACAATGACGTTGTGTTGCCTCCAAACCAGTCACCAAAGTTACTCAGCCAACACACTCTTCTCCTCCCATTTTTTCCTAATTTATCAGCTGTAATAACTGTAGTATATACATTCTAGTGTCATGTCAACAACAAAAAACACAGTGTCACTCCTCACAACATTACCTATGCACTGAAGTGGTCCTGGGAAAAACCCTTCCCCACAGGAAGTCACACACCGGCCATTTTTCAAGAGTAGTGGATCTTGACACGAAGAACACGTATACCCATCACGACACGTAGAGCAGGTCTTCTCACAAGCTGCCCATGACAGGGAGAAAAGGACAGGGAGAAAAGAGGATGTTATCTTTCTACAAAATGGGGGACCTCAACCAGCAGCCTTGGAGCTAAAACTGCCCAATTTGGGCAGCACCCCACATTTCCCTTGCTTGCCACTGACTTGCAGTTGATCCACAGAGATCCAAAAACATCTTGCAGAATTCAGTCACGCTGGGAAAAGGCTACACCGGTATGTATTGGGGAGGCTGGAAAAGCTAAATATGGAATTACAGAAGGAGACTACAGAATCCTTAGAATCATGAAGCCAGCAAGGCCGCTATTATCCCTGTCTAAAAAGCCATCTCCTTGGCTTTTCATTCCATCAAACTTACCTCCAGCATTGGAAATGTTAGATTTTCTGGACCACAGTCCCCAAAATTCCTCAGCCACTATGTTGGCTAGGATAACCTGGGAGCTGCATTCCAAAATATATAACAATACACTTCTTCCTATCTTACATCTTAGAAGAAAAAGCCTGGGTAAGAAAGTATGGCCTGCGGGCTGTGTGTAGTTTTCCTCTTTAATTAAAAAAATTAAGAGGAATATTGGTGGCGATGAGGAGGTGGGATGGTTTAGACCTCTGTTTTTTATTAAATAAATAAATTCATTTTCAGAAACAGGTTTTTCATGCTTGAGCACTCAGAAGCAATGGACCCCTGCACTCAACCAGAGAGCCAAGATACTGGATTTTTCCATGTATAAGATGATACTTTTTCTAAAATCATTACACTAAAAATTGAGGGGCATCTTATAAACAGAAGTAAGCTGAGAACACGAGAGAATAGAACGGCCTGTACTTTGCCTCTGTAAACAGTTTTCTTTCCGTCACGAGGCTTAGCTTCCTACACTCAGGAGACTTATGTAGCTTCCTCCAATCATGAGCCTTATGGAACTGATGTCAGCTGATGCTGAACAAAAAAATACTTCACCCTCACAAGGGAAATGAGAAGCAAATGGTACCTAAGCAAAGCCCAGTTTCCTGATAGAATCCAAGTCCACAGCTGTCCACACAGCGCCCGTTCTGCAGCCACTTAGTTGTGTCCCGGCAAACATCACAGTGATCGAAAGATTGTGAGCATGTCAAGCAGTCCGAATGGCACTGGCCTGTTGCAAAGAACAGAAAACTCATTTTCAGCATGTGAGAGGATGGAATACCAATGCATCCATACGTATACATATCTATGCAGTAATAACTCGGTTTACAAAATCAATGCATCCTCCGGGACGTTATATCATGCAAACGATTCGTAAACCAGAACACGGATTGTCGTAGCAAGCGCTACAAACCTCCAGGCACAGGGAACGTTTCTTCACAAAGTGAAAGAAACAAACAAAAAAAGTAAACCAAGGCATTACAGTGGTGCCTCACATAACGAGCGCCCCATTTAATGACGAATCCGCATAGTGATGTGGATTTTGCGATTGCAAAAGCGATCGCATTGTGTTGTTTCCTACGAAGAATCTGGATAGTGACGTTAATCCTGGAACGGATTAGTGTCGCTATGCGGGGCACCACTGTATTTCGAACAGATTTCAGTTCATAAACCGGAAAATATGTAAACCAAGGTGTATGTAAACCGAGGTCCTACTGTACACCTTTATTCAAAGACAAGAAGCCAAT